GGGGGGGTGCGCGGGGGGAGCGCCCGCCACGCGCGGGCCAAGGGCAAGACCCGCGAGGGCGCCGAGGAGAAGATGACCAGCGGCGACCTCCTCTCCAACCGCAAGATGTACTTCCTGCTCAAGGCCGCCTTCCCCACGTGCAGGTGCGCCGCGCCGGCCCCAGCGCCCGCCGCCCGGCCCGTGTCCCCCGGGCGCTGCGCTTCCCCGGCGGGAGGGCGCCGGGGGGGGCGATGGCCGCTGCTGGGGGGGGGCGAGCGGGATGATCCTGAGCCTCTGCGCGCGCCCCGGCCCGCCCGAGGCTTTGGCCCGAAGGATGGGGCCGGGGATCGCAACACCCCCCCACCTTCATTCCTGCGGGGGGTGCCGCAGTTCGCCTGCGCAGGGCCTGTGTGGGGATGGCACGATGCTCCTGTCGCCATCTGGCGCCCCGGGGAGTGCCCCATCGCGGGAGAGGTGCGAACTTGCCGTCGGAAAACGCTCGGTCCCTGCGGCCTGGACGCCCCTGTCGTAGAATCCCTGCTGCTTTTTAGGTGGAGTGACGCTTCGGTTGATCAGGCCCCCATTTAGCGGACTTCGGATGCGGCGGATGGATGGAATGTCCCTGATGTAGCAGACGAGGTGGTTGTGCCCGAAGCGGCTCAGAGGCGGCAGTTAAATTTAATTACCACGCTGAGGGTGATTTAGAGGGATGTAGATTGTTCTGGGGACATCCTTTCCCGTTTATTTGGGAGTGATGGACACCCGTCCCCCGCACGTTGTCTGCTAAACTGAAGCTTCACTGTATTCTGAATATTTCACAGACGTGAATTTGGCAGCAGTTGGGCCTGACTTGTAAAATGGCTGGTTTTGGTACATCCTCTGTTTCAACAGTTGATTTGAGTTGAAGGGTGCTGGTACATGTCAAGGGATTCTGTCCAGTTACCTGCACAGCCATATGGAAATGCCTTAAAGTGGGTTTGCTTTGCACTTTCCCATAGAGGGAGCATAGTTGAGAGGCCTTCCTTGCCTTGTGGTCTTTGGACTGTGTTGGAATTCTGCAATGACTTTTAAACTCTTAGGAGCCCTCTCGGTTCCAAATAGGTTTCATGACATTAGGGCCATTTACCTAAACCTAAGGCTGCTGGGTTGTTCTTAACAGTTTCAGAAGATCCCAGTGCAGGAATCTGGCATGTCCTTTACGTTGTGGAGGGGTCATTTAGAAGGCAGTGTTTTTAATATAGTGGAAGTGGTCTGTAGTGACTTGTTAAAATACATTTTATTTATATATGGAGAGTCCGTTTGGGGTAGTGGTTCAGGTGCACAATTAGAAACAGGAGACTGAATTCCAGACCTCCCTTAGGCACAACAGGGTTGTTGTGGTGGGGAAAATAGGTGAGAGCATTAGGTATCCCACCTTGAGTTGTCCAAAAATAAAGGTGGGATAAAAATCAAGTAAATTTTAAATGTGTGTTCTCACTTAATGTCTAACAGCTGACACAATGAGTCTTTAGGTATGCAGTCAAGCTTCAAGCAGGTATGGTAGAAATGGATTAAAGGCAGTTGTGCAAAAGAAAAGCAAACCATTGCACCACCATGCTGCTGTTGCAGCAGCTCAGGAGTCTAGTTTAACTTTTCCCAAAGTTAAGCAACAGCTGGCCAGGCAGGCTCCCCTCCCCCCAATTCAACAAAGATGGCCACTCTGAAAATACTCTTGTATCACCAGCATTTATTTATTTAAGCACTTTATATGGCCGCCCAAGTCACTCATGGTGACTCTGGGTGGCTTACTGAAATATAACCCCAAATACAAACCTGCTACCTCCTCACCCCCCACATTGCCTGGAACAGGGTCTTGGGCCAGGGAGTGCAAGATAGCCTTTCCATGGGCGTCCAGAAAATTCAGTGGATTTACAGAGATAGAAGATGGCCATCTTATTAGTTTCTAATCAAAGCAGTTTTCTCAGGTCATATTTCTGACAGTATTCCATCACTTGATTAAGAAACAAACATATTATAGACAGGAATCCTATTATCACACTTGTAATATTAGTTCTAAGCTCCAGAAGGAATAATTTTTGCAAGGTAAAAGGAAAACGTGTCATGTTATAGCTTTATAAAGCTGGCAGGACTCTTTGATCATAGTCTTTACAGACTCCCACAATCTTTGATGTGCCAGGTTTCAAGGAGAGTCAGTTGTGCCACACTGTTCCTCAGATGGTATGTAATGCTGAAACATTTGCTTGTTCAAGTCATTTCAGAAAAGCCCGTTTATGGCATATTGCATGAAGTTTAACGTTATGCTGCAATTGCAAATAATGTAGCAACGGTCCACTTCCTCTTCTAGCTTGAAACTATTTTGCATCAGTTAGGAGGCTTTAGAGCAGAGTTTCTCAACCTTAGCAACTTTAAGATATGTGGACTTCAGCATGCTGGCTGGGGAATTCTGGGAGTTGAAGTCCACATATCTTAAAGTTGCTACGGTTGAGAAACCCTGCTTTAGAGAGAAGAATCGGTAAGAAGAAGGATGCTGGGATCCAGGAACCTCAGATTTTCCTAGACAAAAAAACAGAAACAGCTACCCTCAAAAGATTAAAAACTGTAATGCCTTGCATTTTTCATGATACCTTGATGTTGGATAATTGGAAATATCTGTTAATACTGGACAAGGTATTGTTGCATTAAAAAAAAAATCAAATAGCATGGTCACTGCTACACTTTTAATGATTTTTAATTAGACTAATCAAATCCGCATAAACTGTGGTTGTTTTTTCTTTGTAGGGAAAAAGCAGTTGGATTTATTATATATGAAATCTGTCTGTTGGGTCCCTGGTGTTGGGGCACGAGAACTCCAAGATCTCTGGGGTGCCCCTTTAGCACCTTGTGTCTTGATAAAAGCGTGACAGCCATTTTTTCCCCTACCACCCTCCATTGCATTAAGTCACCTCTTTTCTAACTGGCTGGGGTTAGCAAACTCGTCAGAAAAGCAGAAAGAACATTGACTTGAAATGGTCACGCCCACAAAAACATCTGCCTTTTACTGAAATTTGTGAGTCGGAAAAGGTGCTGCCATAGTTAATATACATGCAGTGAAAGCATATATTCATTCTAACTATCCAGTCCCTTTTGACTGTTTTTGATCCAGTGAGCATCATTTTGTCTGCCAGTAACTGTTTCTTTGAGTTCTTGTAAACTGCTTGTGTCATCAGGGATAGTATCTGGCTCCCATGTCTTCCCTCAGCCTCTTTTTCAGTTGCCTTCATTTCTTCCAAGCAGGGGGTCTTCTTCAGTGACTCTTGCTGTTGGCATTATCTCTCCGAAATATCTGAGCTTCAGTTTAATTCTTAGCGCTTTCATTGAGCAGTTTGGTTTTCCTCCTTTTAGTCCTGAATGATTTATTCTTGCAGTCCAGTATCTTCTCATCAGCTTTTTTCAGCACTGCATTTCTTCATTCAGCTTGATAGTTATGAATCAATGGGAAGCACCTCTTGAACTAACAGCAAGAATTGGTCTGGCATTGGGATGATGTGGGATGAAGCACTAGGGAAGTAAATATGACCTAGGTGGACTTAAACAGTTTCATGTACCCTGCTTTTTCCATGAATTTTCTAGGTCATTCACTGGAGGCTTCATTAGTCTTATACATGTGGTTTTGATCATTAGTGAGTAGATCTGCCCAGATATGTGATATAGTTCTTACAAGCTACTAATGGAGTCCTTTCAGAACAAAGTTTTTAGATTTCTAATGAAGTTTTCATATCAACTTATCTGGTTTAAATAGCAAGGCCGGAGATATCTTTGTGATCCTTTTTTTTTTTTTTTGAGGAACATGTATTGCACTGGAACTGTGAGTCCACTTCTCAAGCTTTATCTGTTTGTAACAGGGTTGATAATTTCACATGTATCCTGAAGAGATGCTAGGAGTATGTCTAGTTGACAAACTTTGTGCTCACTTGAAGGACAATATAAAAATCAGTTGCTGCTACAAAAACATTCTGCCATGTAAGAATTTCTGTACCTTGGAGATTTAAAATCCAGGTACTGAGAATACTTATATATTAAATTTGTGCATATGGGTTTTTATTGAATATTGTGCATATGGGTTCTTTTGTAAGCTGTTAAGTACAATAGGTTTAATGGATAGGTTGATGGTGAGGAATGGACTTTTAATGGGATGGATTGTTGCAAAATTGCCTGCATAAATTTAAAAAAATGGTCTGCCAGAAACCAAGGTGGTGGTGGTGGTTGTTGTTCAGTCGTTAAGTCGTGTCCGACTCTTCATGATCCCATGAACCATATCGCGCCAGGC